CATTTTTCCCCTTAAGTGAATACACCAAATCACTCAATTTAGAACTACACAAAAACAGTAAAACCTTCAACGTACATTATTTGTACTGTATATGCTGATTTAACTACAATTCTTGTTATGTTCATACTTAGTTTCCTAACACAAACAACTGCGGTTGTTGCTTGTTAAAAACCTCGATAGTTGCGTATAGGTCAGAATAATGCAATTTAATGCGTAGTTAATAAGATGTAAAATCAAGAGGTTGCAGGCTGCAAGCTCTTCCATAGGAAGCCAAAGCAGTATTTTTAGCCGGTTCTTTGTCTGGCTGCCAGGAACGTGCTGTATACTCTGCCCTGGCAGATCTGGGAGAGCGGCGTTTTACTGTTCTTGGAGTCTGCTCTGCTTCCGGTTTTCTGTCCTCCTCCTGGGCTTCTTCCCTGCCCCCCCCCCCCCCCCACCCCACCCCCCTGTTCACTCATTAGATAGCGGTGCCCTCTGGTCTATATTTAGAGGTGATAGTTGTATAGCACGGCCGATGGCAGGCTGCCTGACGAGCTCTCCCGGTTCTGCTCGCTCCTTCTAAGGCGAGGTCTGCCCTGGTGAGCAGCCTGAGCCGGTGCAGGCAGTGCCGGCCCACTGCCGGCTGTGGTTTTCACACGAAAACGAGGGCAGCACATGGACCTAAATTGTGGCAATAACAACGGGAGATTGGGTAGGGAGAGATGAGGGTGCCACTGCTCTTGAGAGAGAACCAGATGTTCTGAGGTTCCAGTTCCACCAAATTAGATCCATCCATCCATCCATCCATCCACCTTCCAGTTGTTTATCCTGAGCATGATCACGGGGGGGCTTGGAGCCTATTCCTATTCCTATTACCCCCCACCCAAAAAAACCCCAAAAACTAGATCATAAATTGCTAATATAAACTTAGCAGCTGGTTTTAACTATTTATTATCAGCATTAATTATAGTCAGCGCCTAGCAAAATATCTCTCTGAATAGCGTACCCAGTGAAACATTTGCTTAGGATTATTCATTATAGAAACCTGCTTTGAATCAACCTGTAGTGTGACTGAACTTGGATTATAATTAGTTTGTTGAAGGCTAGATTTGACCATCAGGAACAAAATGATGGCTTCTTCTCCTTCTCTTCCCTAGAGACCTGCGATGTTTTACGTTGCAGGAGTAGCACGCGGCTCCAGGACGAGGGCGTCGCACAAGTACACGCAACAGCAGCTCCTGCACCAACCTGTCTCCCTTATTGATGGCCGTGACCGCCTGGCAAAGCCCTCAGACATCCCTGCCTCATGCGCAGCCGCTGGGGAGAGCTGGAGGTGAGAGGAGTGCTGGGCAGAGCGTCTCTGGAACCGAGCCTGACTGCGGCAGCCATGGGGTCTCATAAAGACATGTTACGATATCCTGAGGACAACCTTATCACCCCCCTTTAGGTAAGGGTAACGTGACACGCCATTATAGATTAAAGATTAAAGATAAAGATATGCTGCCAGTTTTATCATTAACACATGAATAATAAAATACTTTGTCACTGATAATCAAATAAAAATAGCCACAAATAACTTGATAATAACAATATGTATCAATAATAATAATTACAATAATAATGATAATAATTATAAGAAAAATAAACATTATTATTAGTAGTAGTATCCCTGCTTAGACTGCTGCCCCTGCAACCCAACCCAGATAAGCGGTAGATGATGGATGGATAGATGGATGGATGGATGGATGGATGGATGGATGGATTAGTAGTAGTATTTTTAGTATTATTATTGTCATTGTTTTTCATATATTTTTATTCATTATTGTTGCCATTGTTGTCGCCATGTTTGTCTCTGTCCTTGTCCTTGTCTATTGATTTTTTCTTTCTTCTCTTATAACAGATGAATCCTGGGTCTTTAACTCAAATTCTTGGTAGAGGTGTTTTCCTTAAAAAAAGATTTTTTTTTTTACTTGTAGCACTAATCAGAACTTGATTTAAAACTAAGGCTGGAGACGGAATGATATTGGTGTCGCGATCCAGAAGTAAGACCCATTAATGGGATCAAGAAAGACTCACCCGCACGATGGGGGGGTGGGTCAGCCTGGGAGGCAGGCTGGAATGGGCTGAGCGCTGGCGCGCATGCGGGTGCAGGGGTGCGCCTCGTCTTCCCCAGCATCGCGGTGTCTGAAGCCCTTGCTGAGCACGGGGTCATTTACATTATGCTAATGTCAGATGCGCACCACTGTCGTAAAGGTGATCGATTCCTCCGGTTCAGCGCATCACCCCCCCTCCATGACATTTGGTTGAAATGCCATTCAGGATGGGTACCGTATTTTGGACTCTTTCCAGTACCTTAAAAGTCTGCAAAAAGCCCCCTAAAAAAAGTGTTTAATCCACCATTTTAAATCTGACTTGTCTGGCAGCTACTAGATGCAATTTTACCGCTTTTAAATTTCAAGTTTTACTGTGGGCAAAAATCTGTGCTGATAGAGGTCTGCTTCCCATTGGTAAATGATGTTTCCTTGCTGCTAGTGATCTGTAGGGAGTTAGTTAAGTTATTTAGGTCATAGATTTGGTTGGAGGATTAGCAGTTAAGACCCAAATTTGTCCCACTCATTGACGCCAATGTCCTTGAGCTCCTCCTCCTCCTTTAGATTCTCTTCTTGTCTGGACATGTCTACAGCCTTAGAGTTGATATGATGGCCTATCAGACCCTCCTGTCCGCACATTCTCGACTTGGTATCATGGGGCCTGCATTATGGTTTTTGACCTTTACATAAGGTGTGCCTCAAGGCTTAGTTTTTGGCCCCCTCCATTTCTCTCTGTATACCACCTCTCTAGGTCCAGTCATCACAAGGGCATAGGTTTGGGTCCAACATTGATAGGGACCAGATCAGCTCCAACCCCCCTGAACACAGTAACAATTTGTACCACTGATGGTGCAATTACTTGTCACTGAGGTTATACTCTCCAGAGTCTGCTAATTTTACCATAGCTGTAGGCAAATGTACCTTTTAGTCCAATCTAAGGCACAGATATGGACCCTTTTTATGACAGTGTACTGTACTCCCACAATATTAGCTGGGACCTCTACCTACCATCCATACCCTCACAACATGATTGCTGTTACTTTTGACTGACAGGGCTGCCAGCATGTGCTGTGAAACCAGCAGATTCAAAACGCAGCAGAACATCTGGTACTGAACCAGCCAAAATGCTGTCAGGTTGCAGTAGGTCCTTGTCTCCCTCCACTGTCTCCCTAAGTCTTGGTGCTTCATGTCAGAGCTGCTAATGGAGCAGCACCTTCCTACATCCAGTTGCTCCTCAGGATCATCATCCTACCCAGTCAGCAAGTGAACATTCCCTGGCGATTCCTCCAACATATGAAACTCGTTCAGGCAGTCCCCAGGCTATGAACAAGATGCCTTCCCTAAGTCTGTCTTTAAGTTGAATTTGTAGGTAAGTCAGAACAATAATAACATAGTACATAATAATACAGTAAAAATAAAAGTAATTACGCTGAAACTTGCGCTAACCATCTGCTGAAACCACGCAATGTTTTCATGAGCGTCACAAAGTAGTGCTTGTGTTCATTATTACAAACCATTATATTAAACTATAATTCTTCTATAACAGACTTTATGGCAGTTCATTTGTAGGTATGAGTTGTCCATAAGTTGGACATTCTTAAGCTGAGGACTGTCTGTACTGGTGTAATGACTCGGACTCAGAGCTTACAAGTTAAAATGCCAATTAGCCTTCACAAATCAAAGTGTGCAACAGAACACTTCAACCTGGGCCAACCAGGTCTTCCACTCCATGAGACCAACAGCACTGCTCGCCGCTCTGCTTAAATAAGGTTGGGCTCAAATTGAACGCGGTCTAGTGCAGGCTGAATTACCGGGTTAGTAACGTGAGGGCAGGTGTGACAACTAGATGTTTGTCATGCATGGTTCCTTAGCTTGCGGAATGCACTACTACATCAAGTCTACAGACTTCCTGACAACCTTCAAGAAATGTGTTGACGCACCTCCACAGCCCTCTGTTCCTTTAATCGTTTCACTTGGCATCACTCGATGCTTTGTTGTACTTTGCACTTAGACTTAGTTCCTACTAGACTCTCTTGGTGTTATCTGTTTGATATTAGGTTCACTATTAGGTATTGCTTGTGTCCCTATAACTATCTTGCACTTGTTACTGGTCACTCAGTGGAGGCTCTTATACCAAAGTTGGCTCCTTGACGGCTGTACGCTTGTCATGTGTTTTTCTGCCTCACTTGCACTTCAGTTTCAGATAAAAGTGCTAAATATAAAGAATAACAGCCTTTTAGGTTTTGTGTTCCCTGACAGAGGTAGGTGCTCCACCTTTTAACTATTAGTAGGGAACAGTCAGCTTGTCCTTTAAAGCGAGGAAGTATGTGTTTCACATGCAATAATCCACATTTGGGCTACTGAATATAGTAGCAATTCATTGCTGTTACTGCCTGCTTGCATTTTGCTTTTTCATTTCTAGACTGAACACTTTCCCCAGCAGAAAGAGGCCATGTGAACGCCAGATCGACCCACAGATGGAGGGCAGACAGACTGTCCTGGCACAACCCTGGTGTCAGTCCCATATGTCGAGTCTCTAACCCTCATAAAAGTAAATTTGCACCCACTAAAACAGATTTTTTTCTTGATAGAGCTGAAATGGATCTTATTCCATCTACCTGTAAGAGTAGATCTTACATCGAACCTGTCCGTAAGTTGGTGTATGCATTTATTAATGTGAATGCATTTGTCTGTTTTCTGTTGTGCTAAGCAACACGGACATTTTTTGACCATCTCATCATTTTCCTACATGTGACTTGGCCATGGTATTATCAAAAAAAATTCCAATTTTCGAAAAGATTTAAATGCAGTGAGCACTGCATCACCTTGCTGTGTCTGTGCAATTACACTGAATTCCTAGCTGTTTCATAGGGCCTGCTTTTAAAGTAATTAATCCAATTTGTTTAAAAAAAAATCACAGGAGGTCTCAGGTACAGCTCTAACCTGCCAAGGCATTTAATCAATAGTTCATTCATACAGGTAAAAGACATAAGTCTGACTGTTTTATAACAACAAACAAACTACCCATGGATGGAAACAAATTGTTTGCAGTAGCAGAAGTTGTCCCTCCTGCTGATCGTTTGACTGTGCCGACACTTAGTCACATCACACTGTTTGTTTGAGTTTTTTTTTTTTTTTTTTTGGCTCAAATACTTGGCATGTTCTCCTTCCTGTGTAAATAAGGGTCAAAGCAATTAGTATTTATGTGCTCTGATGGCACGGGCAGGACCTGTTAACAGCCGCCCCTCATAACTTGTAGAGTTGCCAGTCTAAACAGCACTAGGCAGATGCTTGCATGCACATCTGAAAGAATTTATTGGCATCTTATGTCTAAAATACAGAACTTGTAAGGAGAAACCTTCAGCATGTATATTCTACTGCTGAATTAAAGGTGGGAGGTTGTCAATGCTGTGAAAGACAATGATTATGTAACGTGCCCGTGGGTTTGACTAGGTAAACCTCTCGTTCTATGCATCTATTTTGTGTTTGCTTTTCTATCTCTTAGTGTAGATATTCTTTTTACGCAGAGATGCAACCCGAAGCACAGTGCATTTCATTGGCCACAGGTACATAGAAACAGTATTGCAGTCTGTGTCTTTGTGCACGTCTCTTCTGCAGAAAGGGAGCTTGTGCACTGAAGGTTTTGATGCTCCTCACAAACACTGCCTCGTTTCCTCCGCATAAAAAGAAAAGTTTCATGTGCATTTTGAGGAGAGTCTCTGATTAGAGTCAGCAGAGAGATATTCTTCGAAGGAGAATGGAGAACCTTCTGACTTTCTCCTACATGGTGGTTTATCTGAAAAGAAATGCACAAATATATATTATAAAAATCGATGTCTGGGGTGGCATGGTGGTGCAGTGGTTAGCACTGATGCCACACACCTGTAGGGCCTGAGTTCGAGTCTCCCCCTGGTTTACATGTGTGTGGAGTTTGCATGTTCTCCCCATGTTGTTGTGTAGTTTCCTCCAGGTACTCTGGTTTTCCCCCCACAGTCCAAAGACATGCTGAGGCTGATTGGAGTTCCTAAATTGCTCATAGGTGTGCATGTGTGAGTGAATGGTGTGTGAGTGTGCCCTGCAATGGGCTGGTCCCCCATCCTGGGTTGTTTCCCACCTCATACCCATAGCTTCCAGGATAGGCTCCAGACCCCCCATGACCCAGAAGGACAAGCAGGTTGGAAAATGGATGGATGGAAGTTCTATGTCTTAATATACCATCCATGCAAGATTTTTTTTCTGTTGTTTTTTTTTCCTGTGTATTTAATGTTTATTCCCAAACACACCTTACAAACACCTTCACCAGCACAAGTGGTCTGAATATGGATGGATGGATCGGACACCCTTCTGGGTTTTTGTGTGTAATGAGAAAACAGGTCTGTGTATCTGCTACAGTATCAGTGCTCATTCCAGGCACGGTTTATTTTCATTAATAAGAAATTAGTTTTGCTCTTAAATAAATTTACTCTATCCTTTGGACTCGGGAATATTGCTGGAAATGCCAGTCGCAGATTAGAATACCTGCAATCAATAATGACTTCCTATATGTTTGCATAACCAGACAATTAATAGTGAATTTACTCTAATGTTTGGTGAGTTCCGCTCATGGGAACAGTGGGAAAATCCAGGACTTTTAAACAGCTGCTGTACAGGTACAGAGTCTGAAACACACAATGTGGCTTCTGAAGAAGCCAGAAGTGCTCAGCATCTCCGTGGTCTGCTAATATGTGTCATATGATGTCGAAGGTGTGTAAAACTGTACTGTCATCATGATACTATATTATTGTAAATTACTGGGCCAACCTGTGTCCGGGGCGGTGATGTCTTCTTGACATGTGTCTGAAATTTTTGCACTGAATTTATTTATGTATTTGCACTAGCACTTGTGTACTTCTGCTGTTTGCACTATTTCTTGAGTATCTGAATGTGTTTTCGTCTATTTGCTGTTTTGTTTATTTATTTGTTTATTTCATTGCATTGTGTGCCATTGTCTCTGGCACAGCAATTCTCAACCCATGGGTCGCGACCCAAATTTGGGTTGCGGCAAGTTCTGAAAGGGTCAGGAGGCAGAGTTGGAAATGTACGCTTTTTAAAACCAGCGAGCTCCTATGCTGATCCACAGTCAGATTTCCCAGCCACAATCCTAGAATTAATCTAGATGAATGGGTCTTGGATCTTGGGTCTGCAACTGCTTAGCACACAACTAGTGAACACTCAACCAATCCCAGAAGCCAATCCACAGATACTGAACTTAAAATTCACTGGCACATCCAATCAGTTTTGTGAGATAGACATTGATTGGCATAAACTACACTGCACGCTTGATCATAACCTTACTTTAAACCTATACTTCATATTAGGTCGCGACTGAGCTGACATGGTTGAAGTTGTGAAAAATCCTTTCAGTCCCATAGGTCCTTTTTCACACTCCTTTGTGGGAAAAGAAAAAGAGTATGGGGTTTACCTGAGAGTCATGATGAATCAGCTGATGGAGAAATTGTATAGAAAACATGAAGAATCAGCACAATTAATCTTACTTTATATTCTCACCATTTCATTGTTGTTGGCACATGATACAAATTGTGAGATTATGGAAGAAAGCCTTTACATCCTTACAGTGTGTCACATTTTATGTCACCTACTCAGTGTTGTCCAAATCATGGCTTAGTCGCCGAGAACGAAGTGAAAACACAAATTAGACATTTTTTCCCTCATCAAATTTTCCTCAGATTTTTAAAAAAATATATATTAAATTTCCACGCTGCCCAGCGCTGGGCTGATGAAGAGGCTGGACGTGAACTGAAGCTGGTCATCTGCATTCTTCATAAACAAAAGACGGTGGGAAGGGGTTGGAGGTAACGGAAGTTAACCTTGACCTCCTACTGGCCCCGTACCTCCTTCCCAAGACCTCACCGGAAAGCCCATGACCTTATCAAAGCAACAGGGCACCTGAGCAGATTTGCGCAATCAGAGGGGCTACAGTTAGACAAAAAATTAAACAGAGTAATTAATTCCCCCGACAGGGATAATATGTCCAGCAGCCCAATAATTCACAATAATATAGTATAATGATGACAACAGCACAGTATATAATCTACAATATACATAGTGATTAGTAATATGCGGCTAATAAAGTTCATAATAAAGTGTAATAATTAGCATGGGGCAAGGGCAGACAAAAGTTATTTCAAAATGAAGGGTATTAATTATTCTTGTTCAATTTATTATTTTACTCTCTCCCTTGATACCAATCTTCATCAATAAAAGATAAGGCTTTTAATTTAGATTGCTCATTTTTAATAAGCTATCTTAGGTTGTTTAGAACGGAAATTGCAGGTGTAATGAATGTTTTTTTTTTTGCCCTGTACAAAAAAAAATGAAGACTAGCAATGGGTTCTCCCAAGCATGACAAAGAGAATTCTACATGATCTCCAGATAATATTTATAGTGCGCCTATGACATTTCTGTCTATGGAAACTTTAGTTTCACCCATTTGCTGCTGTATTTTTTTTTAAAGGAGCAGTTCAAGCGAACTGCTTCAGTCAAGGGTCCATCAGAAAGGCAATGTTTGTCTCTCGTTTGGCTTTTGTTCAGCTTTTGTTTTCACTCCTTGTATAGAAGCTTTGACCATTCTCGCCTTTAATGGCAGTGAATCCGGTATCTTACAGGAGTGCCGGTTCACAACATTGTCTAAGGGCTACAATCAATTTATCCTCTCACACTTAATTGTTATAATATTATTTAATTTCCATTTAATTAACTCAGCCAGATGACTTTGCATGGAATTTCCATAATGTGAACAGGACAGAAGTTTCAGTGACAGAGGAAAAGCGTGTATGAAACACTCACATACTCCCTGTTTGCTGGGAGCAATATCGAAAAATTTTCATTGAAAGATAAATAAATGATTACATGCACAAAATTACAAGAAATTGTAATTCTATTGTGAAATTATTCTATTGTGATATCTGCACATTGAGAATATAAGATGCATAACTCTATAGTACGTTACGTACTGCTCTGTGTGCAGTAACTAGTTTGTATTGTGTCTGAATCAACTTTCTGCATTGCACTACTTGAATACACACTAAAACTACTGTATTTATCACATATCTTGTGTTTCTCTCTGTTGTCTATGGCCTAATTACTAGTTGTCTATTGCCAAGGTATCTCCAACAGTAGTACCAGCCTTGGTCATGTGACACTGAAGAAATACTTTCTGTAGTAACCAAGCGCAAGTATTTAATGAGTTATAATTTAGCATCCCACGATAAGTATGTTTGTAAGTTGAGTATATTACTAATGAGTACAAGTTTAAGAATGCAGGTCTGTAGTGAATGATCCGTGTGCCCAGTAAACAGTTAAAGCGCTGTAGTTCCTTCTTATTCATGGGCACTGTAAGTTTTTATATCTGTCTAGACTGCCAATTGATCATGGAGAGAGGGGGCCGCCACCCCCACCTCGTTAAATGATGAAATGAGGCCAAGACACACCACACATATTAATTTTGGATTTCTAAAGGTGCGGATCAGTAATGGACAGCACTTTTTAAAAGCAGTTTACAACAAAAACCAACTTTCTGTCCATTTACACTTTATATATTTTTTTTTATTATTTATTTTAACAAACCTCTTGTCAGATTCAAAGTCCTTAGAAACTGAAAAAGTCAAAACCAAGAGAGTGACTGTAAACTCTTTTGGCTTAAATGGTAAGTGAAGCCTATTAATTTGGCTTGGGTGGACCGGCAGTAAACAACATTTAAAACGCGGTCCTTTGTTGATTGCAAAAATGAAGGAGGTACATCATCAGTCTGAGAGGGTTTTTCTAATGTGCAGCTATAAGGAATTACATTAACAAAATTAGAAAACAAACCTTCTACTCTATAATCCATATTTTAAACTAGTAATATCTATGTGCATATTTATTGCCACACCAAAACAAAAGAATTACAAAATCACTGATAAATGTTACAGAGACAAAATAATCTAAAATGGCAAAATACAAATCTGACTGACTAGATACCCAATTTATTAATAATCAAATACTGAGGTTGTGGATGTTGAAATTTCACTATTTGGTTAAAGGACGGACGAGGGAAAGATATATAACAGCACAGCTGGGAGAGATCAACCTTTAGTAGTGAAACTGAAGCTTGAGACTTACAGAATAAAACGATCTTTGAATTCCCCTCTTTTATGGCATAAGTGAGGTCTGAGAGTGACTGCATCTGTAAGCCGCTGTCAGTCAGTCCCAGGGGGCTCGTCTTTTATTCAAGACTATTTAATTCTGAGATTGAAATACTGTATCAACTATGGCTTAAAACAACGGTTAGTGAAAGTTGACCTGGCCTTTATTTACGTTAAGAAATCCTTAGTGACATAATCAATTTGCAATAGGTGACAGCAGGATAAACATTTACGTTTGGCAGATACCTTATTAAAGCGTATTATCACATGATTAAGCATCTGAAGGAATGAGACCAAATTGTAGCTAATCTCTCCTAAAACAGTATAATTTCAGATTGCAAGTTAACTAAATTGGTTTGTGTCATTTCAAAGTCAATCAGCAATGGAGTTTTCAATAGTGATTAAGAGTCTTCAGAGATGGAAATAAAACAGTTGGTGATTTTGTCAGAAAAATGCTATACTTGTATTAATTAATTTGTTTGTTTATTGCAATAGAGCTTTATTCCCTACTGGTTTGTGCTGTGACTGTCTATCTGTCTATGATTTTTTTGTAAGAAATATGTTTATTGAATGAAAACATGGTATTCAATTTTGAGGGAAAGGCCTATTCTATATATAGTGAATTTCATTGTGTAATAAAGGGTGTCCCTCCCCCCCAAAAGCAGGTGAAGGACTTCTACAGTTATACCTGTTTTTTGGTACCCAAAGCATTCACTTCCGTCTTACATCCCGGCAGCCCCTCGTAGATACACCCACTAGCGATCTCCACTCTACCGACAGAAAACAACTGACAGCGGAGTGGAGAAGTGCTAAATCATCAGGCACAGCGGCGGCCGGTGGCGCGAGCCAGCGATCCGCCGGGCCATTCATCATCGTAACGGGGACCTTCCGAGGGATGTGGCACAGCAGCCCGCAAAACTGGTTTCACACACCTAAAAGCACAAGTAATGGCCTGGGTGGGTAAATGGTTTGTAATATTTGAAAACAAACAAGCAAACATGTCCCGCTCTGAATCAATCTGCCATATCTCATTATTAACTCATTAAATTGTGCATCTCCCAGAACTGCCAGCAGACCAAAGGTTTTAAGCCATCAGAGTTGATGCTTGGAACCAGTTGGAGGGCTGTTTGGTACTGGAAAAATAACGAGTCAACCCATCTGTTTGAAGACATTATTATAACTTTAGATGAAGGTACATGCATCACTTTTAAAGATTTTGATGTAGATTTTAATGTCATAAAACTAATGAATCTGGTAAATGCAATGTATGAAAGCTGTTTTTACTAAATTAGAGAATAAATCCAAGCAGTTTGGACTTGTCGCAACCAATAAGCATTTTAGATTCTCCATTTCAATCTCATTATGGCCCAAAATGATGTCTCTTGAACGTTTCTCAAAATTAGCTACTGCCCACAAAAGATTGTTAAAAAAAAAACCATAAAATCAGTCAGCCGATTGTTTAATATACATTATTAAGACTTTGTTCATCGCAAAAGGTAAATCACTCACTGAGCGCAGACCAAATCCACAGGCAGTGAAATAGCAGGAATATATATTAGATTTACTGGTGATCAGATAAAAAGATGTCACATTTCTCGTGTTAAAAACAGACAGCACCAAACCAAGCAGTTTGTGGTTTGAGATATAGCGTTCAAACATTAAAACACAGGGGCTTTTCTCAAAAAACAATTTTGAAAATGCAGCTTTTACATTAAAAATCCAGCTTTATGTTGTACTTTGCCTGTACTTGGGATGTCCTGTAGCTACTGTTGGAGAAATTCTGGGTCATGGAGAACTCAAGCTGTGTTTTCCCAACTGCTCCCTCACTGATCTGGCTTCCACGTTGCTCTCTATATGTCTGCTTTATCTTCCCTTGTTTGCACATTTCCAGTAATAATTTCTGCTTCGGCAAGTGTAATCGCTGAAGTAATACCACGGAGAATATTGAAATGTCCATCTATCTTCTGACTCTTCGTCCTGGACAGGGTCATGGGGGTGGGGTGGGGGGTGGAGCGTATCACGGGCAGCATAGGGCACTAGGCGGGGGTGCACCTAAGACAGGATGCCAGTCCATCACAGGGTACGTACACACATGCACGCAAGCACACACACACCAGGTAATTCAGAGACACTAATTAGCCTAACTGCATATCTTTGGACTGCAGGTGCAATCACATACAACACAGAGAGAGCGTATAAACTCCGCACTATACTATAATACTACACACAATACTAAAAAAAGCTGAGTATATGGTTAATATACAGTACCATTCAAATGATTCGACACATATACCCATAAAAAGGTATATTGCACTAATTGGCTGCATTTCCTTCACTCTCTAGTCAAACTCCATCCATCCATCTTCTGTAACCACTTACCCAACTCAGGGTTGGGGAAGGGGGGGGGGGGTTGAAAGCCTGTCCCAGAAACAACGGGCACAAGGCAGGAAACAACCCAGGATGGGGCACCATCCCCATTCTCACACTCACACATGCACACCTGCGGGCAATATGGTGACTCCGATCGACCTCAGCATGTCTTTGGACTGTGGGGGGGGGGGGACACCGGAGTACCCAGAGGAAACCCCACAGTGACACAGGGAGAACACAGAAACTCCACACGCATGGAACCCTGGGAGAGACGCAAACCCTCATGCCAGAGGTGCGAGGCGGCAGTGCTAACCACTGCACCACTGCACCACTGCGGTCAAACTCCCCCAAAATTATTTCTGCTTAGATCAGCTGGCCAGGTTTTGCGATGTGACACTCCGTCACTCTTCTTTGTAAGCAGTTTGGTGACTGATACTGTAGATATGTAGGCATGATAATCATGTTCCATGATAGGCTGCATTATTTCTGTCTTTTAGTTACTATACTATTATTATTAAGTTGTTTTCTGAAAAAAAGTAATGATCATATTGTCATACTTTAATTTAGAATGATGCATCCCGGTATTGTTTCTGGTTACTAGTAGCCTTTTAAAGTATGGGAATGATAAAGCAAACAAGAGTTAAAACTGCAGCAAACTGGAGTACTGTCTTACTGTTTCGACTTATATACTTGAGTAAATAAGGTAATCCTTGCATAAGTTGGACTGGATGTATAATGGAGGGACTGCTGGTGCTGTCCTGGGATCTGCATGTCCAGCCACACCCAGTGAGCTTCTTCTGCATTCATGGGAGCTTCAGAACCTGCGACGACCGAATCGGTCAAAGTGCCGAGCTGCACGAGCATAAAAACCAGTTAACCCAAAGGTCGGACGTGTAGGGCGTTCGTTCGCTTACTGGGAGGTAGAGGGAAGCACAGCAGGAAGGTCCGCCTCTGGGGATGGGAGGGATGGTGCAAAGGCGGATCAGTGCGGCGACGCCTACTTCAGAAACAGCACAGGACGCCAACTCCCAGACGGCAGCGCTGGCAGTTTGGGTCCAATGCCTTGGTTTATCAGAGGTGAACTCCTGTGTGCACAGATGCAGCACGGCGCCTCAGTGCCGAATGTCCATAGTCGATCAGACACATTCTATTTCCGTCAGGGGGGTTTTTATGAGCTATAATGGACAATCCTGTCCTCAAAAGACTGAAACACCCCTCCCACAGTCTATGAAAAAGAAAACCTGCATTTTGGCTTAAATGTTAGCATGGGGCCAATGCCCTTTTAGAAAAAAGAATGATGAAAATGTAATAAGTGTTAGATTCGGGTAGTCTGAAGCTCCGTGGATTACAGGTCGGTACCCATATCCAGATGGTTACGGGTTTGAAATCCCACGGCTGGTCGAGTCATCATATCACCGTTGGGCCGTTAAACAAGGCCCTTAACCACGATTATTTCAAACCCCAAAAACTGTGTTTCTTATGGAGAGACGGAGCATAAGGAAAGATTTAATATGTACCTTGTACAAATAAATAAATTAACAAATAAAGATATATATATATTTTTTTTAATGGCAATTAATATGAATTATCTGTTGCCTTTGACCTGAATCAATAAGGTCAGTTGACCAGTTACTGGACTGTATTTACATTGTTTTAATAACAATCAATTGTTGTGATTGACTTATTTCCTTCTTTTACTTTTTCATCTTTATAATTTAGTCACACAATTCACAAGTCAAATACTACATCAGGGTTATTATTCAATATAATTGTATGTTTCCTGAAATACTGAGGCTTTGTGTAATAGCCTATATAATCCCCTATAATTACTTATTTTGTTTTTATCTTTTGATAGACTGTAAATGAACGATATGTTGGAGAATGGGGGGGGTGCTGTATCAGTGGTAACATGGATGGTAATTTGGAGGCGCAAGCTGTCTGGGAAGGATACAGGCAGCTTTGTGTGGGGGGGGAGGGGGGCAGGCACAGACATGCTTCATATAGCTGTTTTATGGAACACTAAGACCACAATGCAGAAGAATTTAAGGGTAAAGCATTAGGTTCAAATGAGTTTTTACGGCCTGAAAATGTCAATCAGATACCTGGGCCAGGATGGTGACTGCTGAGGTCGCGCATAAGATGAGGCCACCAGCGTAGGAGATTTGGCACATAATCTATTACGAAGAAAACGCATTTTTTTTTTTTAAATTTAACGTACCCATGAGGCGCCGCTACACCGCCCGGCATGTGCGTCGGACTCCTGTCTTAGCCGTATGGCGGCTTCCGGGTCAGGAGCGTAGACGCATATCGAGTCTGACGCAGTCCCAGTCGCACCAGAGAGGAGCCGTGACAGTGACACGGTAATAAGGCCGATACAAGGTCACTGTCCAAATAAGGGGACGCAGTAATGAAGTCAGCCGCTCTGCATTCATGATTAAACTCTGCATGCAGCATTATGCCTGTCTGCAATTTTTTCCCATAGTTTACAAAATCGCACATGACTTTGGGGTAATTCCATACTATTCTCCCTTCACTCAGCCTATTAAGATAATATTTTATAGTGTAAATCCCTTTAAATGTGACCTTGGCATTACTTGAATCTTGCTTGAAGGGAGATTGTTTTAATTCATCAGTCACGGTTTATAACTTCCGATTTGCCTTTAATCATATTTATATTATTGGAATCCCATTACAGGAAAAATGTTTATTATGGGTGCTGTTGTGCTTAGTCCATGATCTTCTTTGATTAATGTTGTGCATTTAAATGCGATGATTGATTAAAGGTGATTGACAAACACTTTTGTTCTCTTGTTAGCCCGCTTTAGCAAATTACACACCGAAATGCAATCCGATTAATTTTCTCCTTCTCCATGATTGCGGGCGGAAGGACAGCGTCTCCGTCCCGCGTTCGTCGTTTGCCTGCTGTCTCCTTTCGCGATCCGTTTTACGGCTAATGTGAGCGAATCCGCCGTCAAGCCTAAACGACTGAAAGGTTAACAGCTTGACGCGTTATTTACTTTTTAGCACAGTTATAAGTAACCTTGTAAGTAATACTTACTTACAATAGTAGGTTACTTATGACAAATAAGAAGAGAGACTTCAAAGATTTTTGTTGCTGAGAGGTTTTCATATTTTACACGTGGTGGCTGCGCCCAACGAATGTAAGACGAGAATCACTTAAATTCTTTACGTTCTATGATCATCGATCCTAGAAGTTACAGTCACATGGTGATGCACAAACCATTTAAATTAAATCTGCATGCCATATCTAAATGAATTAAGAAAAAGATGGAGCCTCTACGTTTTTTTCTGCGTGATTTTGTAAAATTACCGCAAAGTTATTAAGGTCCGCGTTACTGACTGCATGCAGTTCAGCCTTTTGCTCTTGTATTGTGTTGGTTCAAACAAACAAACAGAAACTTCCGATATCAACTTTTTTCTCCTCCGACAGCACCAAAGAGTAGAACTTACCTTCGCAGCTGTTCACTGGGGGGGCTCTGATCTCCCAGCTCTAATCGATAGTCATTAAGGTGTCTGTCTTCCGGTAAACACGCAGATGCGGTAAGCGCTCAGGTGTCAGATGAGAATCATGCGCATCCCTGAGTGATTTCGCTAAAAGAAACATGGAGTCGTTGTCTTTCCGCGCTGCACTTCATATTCCACGTCTAATCTTATCAGTGTGGTGAAATATGCATTTAAAACACCGCAAAATTATTAGCTGAATTATTACCTGATAAACAAAAGGTTGTGGCTAATTTAATAAAGTGCTTTCAAGGGTATTTCATCATTCTGTTATGGGTGTTCTTCATTTGCACGACTGTGATGGAAGCGAAGGTATCCACGATTTAAGATATATTACTTAAAACATTTGACCTCTAGATGTCGTTTCCTTCAGTCACGATGACTGCGTTTGGAAAAGGCTTTACTTAGTTAGGATGTGGGGGTTAAGTAAATATAAATGATGCTTAATACTTCCATCCATCTTCTGTAACTGTCTATCCTATTTAGGGTTGTGGGTGGTCTGGAAGCTATGGGCACAAGGCAGGGAACAACCCAGGACAGGATGTGAACACATCACAGGCCACACTCACTCACCATTCACACCTATGAGCAATTTAGTAACTCCTCAGCATGTCTTTGGACTGTGGGGGGAAACCAGAGTACCCGGAGGAAACCTCACAACGACACGGGGGAGAACATGCAAACTCCACACACGTAACACAGGCAGAGACTCGAACCCTAGTCCCAGAGGTGTGAGGCAACAGTGCTAATCACTGTACCACAGTGCCATATATTCCTGTAATCTTAAATCACGTAAATGAAGGGGAAAGGAGAAAGGGATGTAAATGTACAGTGTATTAATGTACAGAGAATTTAGTTCTGTGAGGTAATGAAAGTTCATGTGAAGTAAAAACAAAAAAACTCCTTTTTATTACTGGATCTTCCTTTACAGATAATCACATCTGATCTCTGCTGTCAAAAATGACACATGGAACCCTTGGAAATATATGCACTTGGCCCTTAAATGGAGCTGACTGCCACTACTCGTGACATCATAATTGCCTGTCAGGTTTAAGGCATTGGTGGCCTTCATTCATTAAGTCATTTAGTCCTCCCATCAGGCAGGTGGCAGCAAACCGTAAGGGATAGCATAGGAATGACAATAATGCAAGCTGCTTGATTTAGCAACATTATAAAAGAATGTATAAAGTACACAAGGAAACAATGAATGTAATCAAGTTCATAATAATGTGAAAATGAAAGTATTTCTATCTAGACTAGATGAAACAGAGTGTAAACACCTAATCATCTCCAGCATAAATACGTGCCCTATTATTTCCTTAAACAGCTTGATTTCCCCCCTGTGAAAACCCCATTGACTTCCCATCGACAAAATAAACAACTAACTGCGAGTGAAAGCCCAACAGTGCATTTAGTTTAATGGTAAATTAAAGAGCATCCCATTTAAAAAGCTGTAATTACTCAAGAACTCATTGAATGCTGATAGTTATTAACTCTAAACCCATTAATGGATTCTGAGGTGCGGCACTGGGATCCTATTCAGATCCCAGCCGTTCGGTGTACACAAGCCATTTATGTTTACTATAGGGCCAGGGTGGGCACCCCTGATCCTGGAGAGCTGGTATCCTGCAGGTTTTCTATCCTACTTGATGAGTTACTATCTGCCTGAGATCAGGTGTGATTCATCGGGGACCAGGTAGGATGGAAAATCTGCTGGATACCTTCAGGATCAGGGTCCAGTATATATTATAGTCTAACACAGAACCAGGTTTTGTTAAGAATTTTATTGAGAGCTTTTTAAGGTAGTTCTGCTCTTTCTAGCCTGTAGAAGATCTATATCGTCTTACTTGAGCTCTTTGTTGCCATGTTTTGGTTTAGTGACCCCAATGACTGGTGATTCCAACAATCATGGCTCTAGCGTCACCTGTTCTCCTGAAGCTTAGCTGTAGAAGAGAGCAGATAGCTGGTTGCCAGATCAGGCTTCCAAACCCCTCTCTCACTGCTTGGAAGGGAGCATCTCAGCCTCAGAGGGAACATCTCTCTACCTATGCTCCATGTTTTGCAGGTGGAGTCATCACCCCCCCCTCCCTCCTGAAATTCCCTCCTTCTCTCTGAATCGTGAGTGGGCGGGGGTTCTTCTAGAAGCCAACAGACTGAAGTGTCAGTCGCGCCAGCAGCGAGTTTGGGACGGGACTGCATAAATGACGCCGTCAGGACATGATAGAGCATGCAAATAGATGGATGACCTCGGTTGCTCTTAGCGGACAGATTAACTTGTCTTCCTCGATTGCAGGAATCCTAATGTTTTTGAACGGAGGCCAACTTGGCAAGCGAGCGCAGACTGAAACGTCCCCAAAGTCCAAGTGGGATAATTATACACAAGTGGATCAAAGACAAAGTACAGTAAACAACTTACTGAAGGACAAGGTCCTCTATTGTAATGCGAAACCATAAACAATTTACAAAAACTGCACTCACAAATACTATTCATAATAATCCGATCTGATAAACTGACCTTACTGCTATTCTCAAAGTCTGCTGCAGTGGTAGCTGGAACTATGGATTCAAATGAAACTTTAATCTTTCAACCTTCTGTTTTCATGAAGCAACTCGGGCCTCACATTGACGTGCAATAATAGCCCGTAAATAATTTATTGCGTCCCCACACTAACGTTGGTGGTCCTTCAAAAGTCTCCCCACCAAGCTGGAGATGAGGATGCTATCAGTTGCTGTGGGGGGGGGGGGGTCACAAAGGATGCAACAAGCTGATCAGGGCAGAGTAGCGGGCAGCCTGTTGTGCTGTGGACTTTTCCCAAAACCTAACCGGTTCATCTCCAATAAATTTAGTATTCCTACAAAGAGGAGACACAAGGACCAAAAGTCAGAGTTGGGCTGGAAACGGGACCCTGCTCACCGCCCTACTGTAACCTCCATGCCCGCATACACATGCATCATTTTCATCACTGTGCACCACAGATTTCCGTATGATCTGCCTATAGAAATAATCGCTCTCTCCAAAATGGCTGCCTCGTATAGGGCATGTTTTACTGACTACAAGCAATACAGTTGAAGGGGCTACTAGCTTTTCTTACTTTCACATAATCATTATATAGATATTTTAAACCCAAATGGCATGTCTGAGATTTTTCTATACTATGTTGATTTTTCTATATCTTATGTGTTTGGGTTCAATACCTAATGTATTAAGCTGTTCAATTACAGCTGTGTCAAAAACTTAAATTATGCTCAGGTGCTAAGTCATTAGCAAAGTAATGCCACAAATAAGGCACAAGGTGTTTAATACTGGACCTTTATAATAAATGGGGGCATGAATTCTATGGCTCCGCCCACTGTGCTGTAACAATGTTATTTAAAGATGGATATTGACACTATTGATTTCGTTTAAAGGGCACAGATCTTACAGACGGGTGGGCTTGTGTAACCTCTTCCCCCGGTTACAGAGATATGTATAGTGAAGAAAGTTGAAGAGCACAAACCCCCCCCCCCCCCCCACTAAAGACAATCCAGAAGGAGCCCCTGGCCGAAGGTGAGCGTATGGGTCTGATCTCCTCCTGGGTCACCTGGAGCCCCCACAGAGGTCTGCTGCTGCTGCTGGGGGGGGGGGGAGGGGTGCATTGCTATCCAGCCAGAAGCTGGAACAGAGCTGGTGGAGGGTGCTGCCAAGAATCTGTGGGCAGAGGCTAAACAAATCACCCCCCACCCACCCACCCACCCCACGCAGAAAGGCAAAGGGCTACATAGTGGAGAGATGTACACATGAACAGGGCTGCATTTGCAGCCTCTCACACCTGCATTCATTCCTGAGAATACTGCCCCGGAATTGGTCACTTTCATCTATTAATATTCATCTACTGTATTTATCCATTTACACATTATGCATTCCACCCTTTCTATGCTGCTGTATTTATTGTTACATACACATTGCACTATGCATGTAAACCCCATGTCCAGCCCCCCAGGTCCTCACTGTCCTGTGGTTTGCACTGTAAACCCCGTGTCCAGCCCCCCAGGTCCTCACTGTCCTGTGGTTTGCACTGTAAATCCTGTGAATCCCTCCCCCTGTCACTCTCTGTCTGTACGTTGCACCGTGTTCCTGGGGGACCGTTATTTCCTGCCACTGTATACTGTATATGGATGGTATGGCAGGTAAGGTCCACTTGACATGACTTATAACAGAGCTATTGCAGGATGCTCAGGAATGTTCATGAATGTCCACGTTAGCTTGCCCGTCTTCATCAGACTCACACGTCAGCTTATTGATCAGCCTGGCTGGTATCACTCAGCATCTTAACAATGTAGATTATAGTCCTCTCCTGCATGTTTCCATCCCTGACTTTGAGGCATGCCCAAGAGCAGACATGTCCCGTGACCAAAGGTACCATGGACCCACGTCGTTAGATCACAGGACATGGGCTTTAGCTTAACAAAGTCAGCAGCATAACAAATACAGTTAGCAATATACCTTTAAAGGGGCTGCCTATTTGTTTAAATGTCCTATTTTCTTTGCACCGTGTTATGTAAATGAACTGGGAACAGTTATTGGTTTGTAAGTTCTGTTTTATTTTGCGAATCTGACTAGAAAGGCCCTCTGTCTTTTTTGGGGCATAAGATGAGCGCCCATTGATATTTAGACCAATTTACACTATCAGCACAATCTCAACTGGAGAATGGAATTCTGAAGGCATTTGTGGGTGTTGACTAAAAGTCTTTATGGGAAGTACCGCATGTCAGAGAGCAGAGATTTAAGGGTGGGGAAAAGGAAAGTGATTCCAAGGAGACGGATTCAAGAAGAACGAGAAGTTTACAGGACCGATTGCACCATTTCAATGTCACACGTTTGTGACATCCATCATTGACCCGCAGAGCATCGAGAAGCTCCAGATGTCGAAGAAACGTGTGAGGATTCATGGAGGACGTCAGCTTGTGTTATCCGGGGTGGGGGGCGGGGGTGCTAATAGTGCCTTGGCAGTTCTCGGGGGGGGGTTCCGGATGGGCTCTGGGTTCTGAGTTAGGGTAGGTACTCCTTCATAAACAGCCACAAGTTAATGGTCGCATGTAAT